TGTGTGTGTGTGTGTGTGTGTGTGTGTGTGTGTGTGTGTGTGTGTAACTGAGTGAGACAAACGCATCACAACTGTCACATGGCTGGAGGTTCACACCACACATTCACAACACATATATGTAATCTGATGCTGCGTTGCGATGTTTAACTGCTGGGCAATAATTCCACATAGTCACTTAATATCAATAATATATAATAAAGTAGAATTAGTTATAGTGAATTGTATTATAAACGAAAAAATATTCTGGTCAAACAAAATCATTTTGATTGCTGTATTATACTGTATACAGCTGGATATCAACATAATGATTATGATGATACTAGCAGCACTATGCGGCTATTAGATATAGCCGCACACCCTGCTAGTACAGAAAACGTAACCAGATGGCCATCAAAATCCCCCTTCCCACCTCTTCCATGTGCACAGATGCTTGAGACACACAGCTCTGTGCAGCAACCTGGCCACACTGAGATTTGTCACCCTGGAACCTTCATCATCAGCAGCAGCAGTGCTGTTCTACTTCACTGGTTACAGAGGCCAACACTCACACCTCGCTAACTGGAATTGCCTGTAAAAACAAACTTGGTACAGCACAGGATGTACTACGGGGCCCTCGCCACAATAACCCCTTCCCAAGCCCCCCTACGGTGGGCACAGCGCCAGGCAGACAGATCAGTGCTCCCGACCCAGCATGGGCCACAGGCAGCGGGGTGAGGGATGACTCAGCTGGCTGTGCTTGACGGTGGACCCCAGGGGGTATTCGAGGGATTAGTGTGGCTCTGACGGCAACGGGTTGGACACCTACACAACCGGGCATAACAAGACACCAGCCAGACAACGTGTTGTGGTTTCATTCCTTTTTACTGCTCACTGGAACGTTACTACTACAATGAACAATATGTGATGATAGCTGGGCTACATATGACTCTTTGTGCAGAGTATTTTGAGCTGATAAATGAGCCCGAGCTGGTCAACACAGCCTAGGACGCACAACTCAGAGAAGCTGTTTGTGAAAGGAGGGGAACTCTCACACAGTTGAAAGGGATCCAAGCCCTCCGGAAATGTCCAAATAAATGTCTGTGAACCAGTGCTTAGCAACAGGGCCTCAGCCTCTCTCGATGGGAAAAGGGGTCTCTGCAATTACAAGAATCAGTGCCATTGTGACACAACTGGGCTCACTGGGCATTACCATCTTTGCAGACTTCCCCGGGAAATTAAGAAATGGATTTGCCTCACACAACACATTTTAATTATTTCCAGTAATGCCCAGACAGACGGTGAAGATTCTTATAGCTCTGTATTTGCTCTAAATCTTTAGGTGCGCTTAATGTCACTCAACAGCACTTGATTAAAATGACGAACCTGTCGTCACTGTATGCTTACAAGAGGGAACAAACCTAAATTCAAACAGCTTTCACAGCTGAGAGGAGTCATTCTATCCGGCAAAGTGCAACAAGGAAGATGACAGCCTAAGACTTTAAATGCTGAATGCAAATAATCTATGAGAAATGAGTAGGAGACATCTTGTGTTGCCTCCATCAAGCAGCATAACTCTACTATTGTGTAACGTGATGTCATTGCACGAGTTATTGAGTTGGCGTTTTACAAAAGTCTCCACCTCTGCACATGATAAAGAGAAAACCCAGCCAACTGGTAAATGAGTCACAATCAGGGAAAGGGTTGGATGAAATGGAGATGTAATGGACCCTTGCTCCAGTGAGAGGCAGGCTTATTGAACGGAGAGACAGCCTGCAGATAAAGGCACACAACAATCAACATTAAGCTCTCAGCCTGGAGCTGCCAGCTTCAGCAAAGCCGGGCACGACGAGGTATGTCCATCTAATTTTCAATGAGTGAAACAGGTTTTGAGTTTTTGAAGATGAACATTGTACATGAAGTCCGTCTTTAATTATTTTCTCTTCTACCTTGTAATTTCAAAAAGCAAACATTCAAAAGTTAAAAAAAAACAAAAACATGGATTGGCTGTTAATTAAATATCAGTGTTCTGGCAGAAAAATTCGGTTATTTGAGCAGACAGCTGTTGCTTATCTGTGAACACAAAGAACTCTGTTAAGGCGGGTTGGTCACAGTCTGACTCAGCACAGGCCTCCCTGAGCTAACAGATGGGGCTGGGGTCACCTTATTCTCCCTTAAAAGTGCTCTGAAAATACAAAGATGTTGTACAGATTTTTTATTTATTGTATAAATAACAACCTGATGACTACACTGCTGCAGCTTGTGTAAGAAGAAGGGAGAATTTTGTTCCAGCACATCTGGAACCAATAATTAACATTTGTCAACACATACAAAGAGATCAAGTATGATTTGTGTTACCAACTATCCTTAGAAAATGATTGTTTAGTCGTGGTACAGGTAAGTTCATTATTGTTCTAATATGGTGGCACACAACTTCTGCTGTCAGAAGATACAAACGGACCAAGCAGCCTCTTGGCAAGCAGCCATCAGTAGACAGGGAGCACATCGCAGAGCTCACAGTACTACAGCTGGCCTGGTCACAACATCTACCGCTCCACGACATTCATTATAAAGTGGTAAAATGGTAGATTTAGGCCTTGCTACAACACAGCAGAATACCAGAAACAAATATCTAAAACATCAAAGGAGATTATCACATCTTGTTTGTAGTTCTGTCATAGTTGAGGGTACCATTCTCATTATCACAATTGTGCATTGTGAAGCTCTTTACATACATATTAAATAACTAATCATTGCTCACATGTCATGCCAACTGTAGTAGACTGAATATATCTTGATGTAACTCATCTCGGACTAAAATTAATAGTCAATCGTAAAATCTGCAAGAATGTTGATAAGAAATTAAGCCAAAATGCCACATTCACTGGTTCCAGTTTGTTATATGAATATTTGCTGGTTCAGCGGCTGTTTAAAACCGCCTAGACAATCATTGGTAACCATTTAGTGATATTGGTGACAGGGGGTGCCTGCGAATAGCCCAAAGGATATTAAAAGGAAGTATTCACCCCTAGCCACAGCCTGTCTTTGTGACCGGGCCTCTGAGTGTGAACCTCTCAGCGCCCGCCTCCTCCCCGGGTCTCAGGTGGCCCACAAGCTCCGTGTCTGGGTTATTCCAGGAATGCATGGCACTAAGTGGGCCATAATCACAGGGGAAATCGGCAGCTTATGTAGGACATGATGGCTTGGTCATTGAAGGAAATGTGTTTCTTGGCCTCTTGAATTCAGAGACTCAAGTATAAAATGCTATGGCTAAGATATGCAGATAGGTGGTTGGTATTTGTAGAGAGGCTATTAGACAGTTGGATCGAACTGTTTACTGATCAAGAATCGTTTTTTCAGACCCTGATTTAGTTTCTTCGATGTGGAAGAAGTTGATTACGAGTTGTTACAGGTAGTTGTTATGAGTGAATGACAAATACTCACATAGATGAGGCCGGAGTAGTAGCGGTCTTTGAGGTTGTGAAGCACGGAGGCTTCGTTCAGGCAGGTGAGTTCGGCCATGTCCTCTACTTTGCTGAACTTTGGCGGGTTCATCTTCTGGATGTCATCCTTGTTGACCACCGCCTTCTTCCCGTTCTCTGCCAGCTCCACCACCACCTCATCTCCGCGCTCCTCGCGAACGCTGGCAGCCTCGAAGCCATTGCGTTCTGATGGGATCCACACTAGCCTCTTGGCCGTCCAGTCGGCCTGCGCCGCCGGGTTGTAGACCACGGCGCGGTCCACAAAGAGGTACCGCTCCGGGTCCTCCTGCCCGCTCCGCTGGGACATTTCTGCTGGAACCAGAAGCAGAACACACTACGCCACCTGTAGGGAGGTAAGAAAGTATAATGTTTGTCTGAACAACAGAAAAATGCTACATTTAAAATCCATGCAGCCTTCTGTCACGCTGTTCACCTATATGTTGTACAGATGAGACCACCACTGTACTATGTACGCCTGGCATGCGCTAGAGGTGCACAGCTGCTGGAGTGTAAATCAGGCATGACACCTTCTGTTAATGGCGTTAATAGTGATTTCATCAGTGAACTATTTGTGACAGCTCAGAGCGTGCACACAGCAAGCTCCTGGTTACAAAAACTCTGAGGTGTGCGACCAAGCTCCGCAACTCCTTTCGGAGTCTTCGTGCTCAAAACGCAAGCCTTGATGATGTCATTTTCTGACGTGCACGCCTTCCTCTAAATTCACTATGATAAGCATAAACCTTGCTTTACAGTGTATCACAAGAGGTGACCGTGCCAGGTCAGAGCTGCAACAAAAAAAACATTTGATCATCTTCACTGATGAAATAAATCCATGATTTAAATTACAAAAAGTAAATTTGTTTGCTTGTAAGAGAAGATGATTGAATAGAACATTGAAATATTAATCAGACAATTTTTAGATATTTATTTTGGGTAAATTAATTGTTACATCAATAACTAATTAAAAAATATCTTTAAATAAAGTAGCAAATGAATCAACTAATCAAAACAATAATCATCAGATTAATCTAAAAAAAAAATTAAAAAAGATAAATGATGAAATCCACTGTATTTATTATTAGAAATAGCCTATGGTCACTGCTGTTTGTCATTGTGGTTTTTAAATTACATATTAATTTCACATAATTTGACAGTTGTGTCCAAACAGAGCGAATGCGACGAGCAGACGCGCACACACACACACACACACACACACACACACACACACACACACACACACAAACAAACAGCGAGAGAGAGAGAGATTAAATCTATACAAAACAGCAGAGGAGCAGAATTGCTTGTTGTCCAGAGAAATGTGCTTCTGGTGTCAACAGCCAGGCCTCTGCTCAACAATTGACATAATGCGGTCCAATGTGATCCCGCCATAAATTTAGCGTAAGTGCAAGTTCATAGCCTGCTATGCTGTAATCATGCATTTCTCTGTGTATAATGATGCAGCAGTGGTGGCACCATGACTAACATCTTGTCCATATCGGGTAAGACATCTGAATGTTGAAGCTGATGGTGAAGTGCTTTAAGGATGATGCAGCTTCTCTAATAGCTGCAGGCTCCAAGAAAACTCGGGTTTTTATCTTAAATTACAAGAATATTTCAGAGAACAAGAAGTTAGCCTCCCAATAGCTAATGTTATTTGTTTGCCAGGTTTAATAAGTATATTTCAGGACATGTCCGATCATTGTCAGGCGTCACAGCTCATCACAGTCACCCACGGTGGTTGCTGCTCGCCTCATAACTCAGCAGGGACTTGTGATGGCTCACCTTGTTTTAAAGTACGACTAGAAGAAAAATGTGGGTCATCTGAAAAGAGTAGCTGAGTTCCTGTGTGCAGGTAAAGTAAGTGTATGTATTGTGTGAAGAAAAAGCAAATACACCAAAACTAGTGTCTCAATCAGCATTTACAGCAGAGCCTTCTGAATCACCATCTCTTATGAAGCATTGAAGCATGAGCACCTGTTCTGAGACTGTTTTCAGAAAGCCACAGTGTGTTTTGCTTTCCAAATGAGAGAAATGTAAACCAAATACAAATGTAATGTGAAATATTTGTATTCTGTCTTCATGTTTGGATTACTTCGCTGTCTTTCCTTTGCTTTAGGGCTTTGAGATGTTTTCCAGGACTTGTTGGGCCCACACAGACTTTTACACCTCCATCCCTGTGCACAACCAACCCACATGTACAGTAACATCACCATTTAAGGGTGAAACGGACTCTGTTGTGCAATAAAAACAGGGCATACATGTGAGTGGTCTATGTATATTCAAGGTTTTCTGACATTTCCCAGGGCAAAGAACTAATCGAGGAAACAGATTAATAGTTTAAAATGCTTGAAGATATTGTCTTGGGTTTAAGGGGACGGTGAGGGGATTATATTTGTTACAACTTTCTGACAAAGACCACATGAGTAATCAATAAAATACAGAATCTGTAATGAAAATAATTTGTTAATAGTCCCACATATAGTAGAAACAGACTGGAGAGTGGTTTTATGCTTACTACATCATCCAATAGAATATACAATTACACCATCAATAATAAAAGCATTATACCTCCATAAACTGAGCAGGAAACAAAAGACAGAGGAGAGTAACTAAGTAAAACCAGGCACTTGATGCCCCCAACAGCTGATACACTGACAAGTGTGAACGTGGGCCATGACTGGAAGCACCACTCCAGCTTGCTTCTTATTAATCTGAGACATCAGCTGGTGAATGCTCGGAGACATTTAAACTACAATCAAGTCCCCATGCTTAAATCAGGCGCTGACTAGACACGAATCTGGGTCAGGTCAAGGGACGGAGGATCAGTGCGGCTGCTGGCGGCCTGTCACAAAAAAACAACTGCTTTCATCCTTCATTCAGCTCTAACGTTACACCGCAGAGATATGGAGCGCGCACCGCACCCTCGGTGGGATATTGCAGCAGAGGAGGGTCGGCAATTTGCAATTAGCTGTGAGCACACAGCTCGTTAGGGGGCTGACATGCAGCGGGCTGGGCCAGACCTGCTGCATCGGCTAGGTTTAGCGTGCTAACGTTAGCTCAAAGTTGGCGTGCTGTGCCTCGTATCCCACCCGCTCGACATGATGCCTGCAAGGAATAGACAGCTCCGGTTGACCAGCAAACACCACCCGGAGGTCTAGACTGGTGCTGTAATGTCTGTGAGCGAATAGATGGAGAACAAAATAATCCCAGACGCTCTCGTGTCTATGCGAATCAAGAGTTTAAGGGATGATCCCATCATGGGTGTGGGTGTCTCAGAGACGCGTGTCTGGGTGGGGATAAAGCGAGCGGACAATGACCACACCGATCCACGGGAGCTCGTGAAGAGCACGCTTCTAGAAACAGATACCTGAATCACAAATGTTCATTTGAGACTTTATCAGACCGATACAAAAAAATATGTGCACGTTGGCTCTGCGGCGCCGGCTAACATTAGCACAACCGTTGGTCCTCCATCATTGAAAAGTCACGGCACAATAATCTGCTAGCTAATGTTAAGTGTTGTTAGCCACATGGATCCTCACTACAACACACGGCCCTGGCCTCTTCTTCTGCTGACATTACCGCACACCTGAGATGAAGGAACCCTGTCCAGGTGCAGTATCCAGTAGATGGATGTATTCGTCCTCCAATGCGTGCTAAAATAGTCCTTTCGTCCGCTCTCTCATCAGTGGTACTCCCCCACCATCCAGCACCCTCTCAACCGAACTCTCGCCGGCCGGGCGGGGAGGTTGCGCTGCACCGCCGCACTCTTTTTTGGGACACGCCCACAAATATATCTGGAACGTGATTGGCTCTCGGAGTCTGATGCCTAACCACGATTGGTCCAAAATGAATTTCCATCCCAAAACTTTGATAGTTGACAACTGCCGCCCAAGATATCAACACCTGCAGAGACTGGTGGATGCTGCTGCGGCTCTACATAGTTGTACGTCACTGCTATTACGGTCAACTTTTGAACAGAGCTAAAATGTTTGTATTTGTCAAATTCACACAGACACTTGATGAAATAAATTAAATGAATCCTAGAATGATTGACAATACACATCATATCTTATTGTTGTAGGGTCCTTTTCCGTTTCCGTTCCCTCCCCAACTCTGATTTAAAAAAAACAACTGTTTAAACAAATGTCAATACAATCAATAAGAATATGAGATCATTACAGCACACCACGAGATCATCAGACACAGGAGGATACAGCTGAAATCAATGAAGAGAAGAATGCAATGTATGGAAAGGTAAACCACAATAACCACACAAGGTATTTTACAAAAGTTTTATTACAAAAAAAAGAAATGTTGAAGACAGAACTTAAAAGAAATGGAAAGAGTGATCCAAGGTCTGGAGGCTTGGACTGCAAAAGCTCAGTCAGCCTTTGTCACCAGCCGGGAATCTAGCATATACTGTATATCTGCAAACACAGTGAAGTTAATTATATCTTTCCAGTTTGGTTTGCGTTGCTTCTCAGACTGGCATCACATTTGTAGTGTGTCTCAATAGTGCCCTCTGTTGTATAAAGACAGACATGACCAATGCTGACCTGCCTTCATGTAAAATAGATTGATAATGAAGAGCTACAAAAGAACACTAGTCTGTAGTCTGTAGATGTCTGAATAAGCTCAACTAAACATGAGTGTTACTGAGAGGAATACATGTTTCTCTGACACTAAAATTCAAATCATTTCCAGAAAACCTAAATGTGAAATTATATTACAGACTCTGCTTTCCATAAAATCTAATTCAATCAACGTTTATTGCATTCTCTACTATATATTTGTGCATATTAAACTTGAGTTACTGGACTTGCATTCAGCTGGACTACATCTGCTTTATTACTGCGCATCAGCCTGAATAAGTCGTTCTGTCTCAGATCAGCCTTCCAGCAATGGTGCAGAGATACAACGCTCTGAAACTGTGACACCGCAACAGAATGCAGCCATCATTGATGTTATTAATCACACTTGTGTTTTCTCTACTCAACAGGTAAAAAATATCTGCTAATTTGTAGAAAGTTGGTCTCTTACTCAAAGCACAGTTTATTTTCCCCATGTAATGGATTTCTCCTTGTAGTTGTGGAATGCCTAAAATAATCAGTGCTTGATTTAACAACAAATTGTAAAGTTTCAATTGAAATTTTAGATTGACAAATAATAAATAAATAAATGAAAATTATATTGAATGCAATTGTAGCGCCACAATAAACAATTGAATGTGACCACACTTTTTCAGGTGATATGACAAAAGACTAATGTGGTTCTTCTTTCAAAATTGCACTCACTCTATCTGGCCACAAGATGGAGCCAGAGGCCAGAAGTGAAGTAATTGTCACGGTAAGGACCCTCCAACAGGATTGCTGTAGATTACAAAATGTATATACAATTTTTGGACACTATGACTTGATAAAATCCCCCAAATTGTATATATAATTTTGGGATGTTGATAAAATGTCCCTAAGGAGTTTGGTGTTGGACATGATTTAAGTCAAAGTCTTTCCAGGATTGTTAATTTTAAGGCATTGTACTTTAGCCCCAGATAAACGTCCTCAAGTGAAATCACTTAAAATCAGTTAAATTGTGCGGCTCCCTGTGGATCTGAACTTCCTTAACTAGCCTATAATTATTTCTTTAAGAATACATATTCAATAGATAAAAATGTAAATGTTATTTTGAAATTCCTTCCTTTTTGAAAGTGGTCTGTGCATTAAAAAAAATCAAAGATTACATTATTACAAAGAGACAACTTGCACAGCTTAGTATGAGCCTCCAACCATTTCTTTTAAAGCAGCCATTATTTCACCTTAAATTTACTGAAATTATTTATCAACACAAGACTGCCAGATGTTATTTGAGGTGCAGCAGACGGCAGAGGGCAGCAGCAGTAAAGGTAAAGCTTTGCAGACCTCCAGCTTGACAGAGATCCAGGGGAGGTAACAGGACAGCTGTCTTTGCCATTTGTTAATCACATATTCGCACATGCATGTACTGTATGACAGAAACGCTGTATGTAAAACAGTAAAACTATAATTCATTCAGTTTTTAAATTCACGAGAGTCAAACAGATTTTTGTCAGAGGCACCTGATTTCTGTACATTTTTCTTCACAAACTCTTCCTCCATGTTCACTTACAGTATCACACAATACTAGACTGAGTACATTTCTTTCCTAATTCGATGTCAAATAACACTGCCATAGCTTGAAAGACAGATGCGAGATGTCTGAGTGAGTTATTTCATCTTGTCTTGACGAGTGACAGAGTGACACCCTTTGGTGTGGTGCATTTTGCAAAAATGCTGTGACAGCTCCATCTCTCAATTGTTGGCTTCTCCTGTCGCCTTTGTGTCATAATAGACCTGTCATCAGCATCGTCCTCCACCATCCTTCTTCTGCTTTTGTCTGGACAGCAGTTTATCAAACATCTCCATCTTTTTTTTTTTTTTTGCAAGCACAGATAAGGAATGTCAAATGTGGCGTTTTCAATACCAAAGTGGCAGATTGGATAGAGATGAATGTTTGACCTCCTTGGGCACAGTTTTACTGCAGGAGATTGATGCGCCCTCTTTGAGCTTGCTTGCTGCAAAAAGCTCCATCTTAATAAGTCATTTTGTCTATCATCAAGCTCTAAAAATTCATATTTTCTTCAGCGAGGTGAAACAATTTCACCCATTTCCAAAACAAATCAGTGCTCTTGGTTTTAGCATAACCTTTTCTCTTCTTCTCCTGGTAAGTTTTCATTCTCAAAGAAAGGAAATTTCTATCGGGAAAAGATGAAATAGTCTGAACCCATTTTCAGATGTTTTAATTCCTTTTAGGACTCAATAGACTCTAGCAGAGTCATTGAAGACACTGAGGTCATGTCCACAGTTCTTTCCAAGGAATTTGGGCATTTTAGCTTCCGATGCAGTTTTACATAACACAACACATGTTTTTTTATGGGTTGATTTCAGTGTTTCTCAAACAGTTAATTAAATAAACAAAGTATGAAAAAGCAGCACAATGTTAAGATTTAGAGACTTGACTTTAGAGGTCACAGATGGTGTTTGGTGGATTTATTGGACTCCTGACCTCAGTATTTCTAAAATACTGGGTACAGCCTCGGTTTCAAAATTACAGTTTGAGAATAAGATCCTTTAAAGACACAATTTGGTTCTAAATAAAGCATTAAATGATTACAAAACAATGAAATATTTTGATTATGCATTGGCAGTTATGACCTTGTGATCCTTTTCCGGTTGTCCTCAGCTTCCTCTTCATCTGGTAAACTGTCTGCTACAAAGTCCAGAGAGTTTGTGTGGAAGCGGAATCTTCTCACACACATCTCTTTATTTCTGAGCGTGTGCCCTCTGGCTATTGCAGCTGCACCTCTTCAGCACAAGTAGCTATAATTTCCTTTTTGCCCCCCAATTTAAAATGTGCTTTTTTTGGCATGGCGTGTGAATAGATTTATGCTGCCAAGGCGTTTGAGGGGAAAATAGTGGATTGAGAAAAAGAAAGCGAGGAAAATTGCAATATGAAGAAGAAAAGAATGATTCATTAAAAGTCTTTCAAAAAAGATTATGTATCTCAGGTATTCCTAAGATGTCCCTCCAGTTTTAAATATTGTACGTGTCATTAAAGACAGTTTATTGTATGTCCACAGGTTATTTTTGTATCCGTCTGTACTGCCTTTTGGCAGCAGGTAATGATCTGAGCTGCTCATCTTGCAGTGTTTTTGTTTTAGCTCATTATGTGGCAGGGTCATAAAGCCTGAAATAGTCTTTTTTTATTAATTAATTTAACCTTTTTGTATATAGGGTAGGTTGGCTGAGCTTTAATGCGCTTTTACGTCAACAAAGCTGCTTCCAGTATAATATAACCAAAACAAAACAGACAGAGTTGATAAGTGAAACAGAAAACTGAAGAGAAACAAGGGGCAAGCTCAGTGAAAACGATCACAGGCAGGTAGAGAGCGAGTATGTTCTTAAAGTTACAGAGGTATGTGTGCACTGATTTTTATTTCATTCCATGAGACATGCTGCCTGAGCAGCAAAGGCAGGCAGTCTGGTCTCCAGTTCTGATTCAGGGCTCCTGAAGCATTAAACCAGTCACTGGAGTGTGTGAAATATGGAGCGCCAGAGCATGATGGCAATTTTCCAAACCACCAGAACCAGTGGTTATTACATCTCTCAGACGGGGGGCGACCAACTTTATCATATCAATGCAGCTGTGAGCGTTATTATCACCAGTAATGAACCTGAAGGCAGAAATCCAGGAACCTCAGAGGGGAGGCAGCAGCATGTCGATATTTGAAATAATCCAGAACTGAGAGGAAAACTGGTGCAAAAATCTTATTTTTACAGGTCAGATGGAAGCTGCTTCTGTTCCTGTTCAATAGGCCAAGCATCATGGTTACAGTCACGGTTTACCAACAAGGTTTTCTACCTGATATTTAAATTCAAATTTCTTATCAAGCCAGATGCCAAGATATAAAGGTTCTGTGACTCTTTTGAGCATACAGACAAATGCATATTTTTATCATCTATTTCTCTGGATTTAGAGAATGTCATCGATTTTATTGCATTTTCTCATACGGAACTAATTCAAGGTTAATAATGGCATCTTGCTGTGCATTAAACCAGCATTAATTGATTTTTGGCCACTTTGAGGTGGCAGAACACATACACCATTGACATCACCTAATAAAGCTAAGGGGCTGTAATCAATATTTCCATAACAATGGATCAAATTACAATGTGTGATTTAAAAGGGGGGTCGCTTGTGATGACAAACCAACAGAGAAAAGTCCCCTGACTCTGCAGTTCCCCTCACCTTTACAGAGCATTATAGCATTTTTCAGCACCAAATGGCAGACAGACATATGCCAACCTCTGGAGGGGGTTCAGATTAAAGTCTGTCTTGAATGCTTCTTGGATGCATTTACACTTTGTCTTTTTTTGAGATCGGATAGCTATCCAAGTGTACATCGGGTATGGACATTTAATCCATTATCAATACTACTACTACTACTACTAATAATAATAATAATCATAATAATAATGATTAGAGTAGCTTTAGAGGAGTCGTAATTTATGAGTGACTAATTGGACAGAATAAGCATTAATCGGATGATTCACTATAACTAAAAAAATGTTGTTTGAACTTCTATTTGAATGACTAAAGGAAAATCTTCAGCACCATGGACAGTGCCAACGATATTTTTATTGTTACCGTGGTATAGTTTGTAACAGGCATGGAGCTTCAAATGTACACCACAAATTATCCTGCAATGAGTTTGCATTCATAAAACATAAAAGATTTTGTAATTGTTAGTATTGCTTCGTGCTTCGTGCTTCGTGCGTGGCTTACTGCGGCCAGTCTAGTGGTCGGTTGTTGTAATGATGCTGACCGACAATGCCTTAAAGCCACTATGCTGCAGTGCTACATACTATTTCCACACAAGATTGAACTACATAAAATGTACAGAACATCAGTCAGTTGTTTATAATAAATATTATTATGCACAACTTGTCGCGTGTATGCAGATAACCGGGGCAGACCAAGCGTCTGACCAGCAACACAACAAACAGTATCATCTGCAAAAAGACGAATTTTATCAGATTTTTTAAATATATTTTGGACATATGGAGAGGGAATGTATCCCAATCATCTATTGTGATGTTGCTAATTGTCTAAAACATACAGTGAAATAGGCATAAACTATTATTCACTGGATGTGCAAAGAGACAATGTGTGTAGTTGTGTGTGTTGGAGTGGTGTTGACAGAGCTCTCTCTCTCTCTCTGTCTGTCTCCCTCTTTATCTCTAGGTTTCTCCACCCCTCTCTCTCCCCCTCTCTCTCTCTCTCTCTGTTTTCCTCCCCACCCCTCTGTCATTCCATCAGGTCCTCACAACACACACACCACAGCCTCCGAACGCCTCATCTCCTCCACCAGAGCCAGAGAATCAGAGAGAGGGAGAGTAGTGACGGGAGAACAGCAGCAGCATCACTGACAAGCATCTCCCTCACTGGGGAAGAGGGGGAGAAAGAGAGAGAGGTGGGGAGAGGAGAAGTTGAAAGAGTGAGGAGAAACAAAGAGAGAGGGAGAGAGAGAGCAAACCAGTGAGGGAAATAAGTTTTCAATTGGAGGGAGGACAAGCGAGGGAGAGTTTGGAGGGTGGCAGTGGGGGGATTCGGAGCTTCATCTTCCCTTTTATTTGTTCGGCTGTGAGCACTGCCTCTTCTCCTTCTCCCCCTCCTCCTCTTCTTATTCCGCCTCTCCGCTCCTCTTCTCATCCCAAATCTCCTCTCCCAGCTCCCGCCGTGGGGTCTCAGCTCTCCATCTCCCTCCCCCCCTCCCTTACTCCCTACCTCCCCCGGGCGCTGCTGGGAGCCTCCGGGCTGCTGCGCCGCAGGAGGATGTCTCGCAGGGAGTCACCGCCGCCGCCCTCGCCACCTCCGCAGCTGCTGGGGGTGCGGAGTGGAGAGGTGGAGCGCGACGATCGTCCGGAGCGTGCCGAGCCGCTGTCCGACGCCGAGAGGGAGATCATCCAGGACACGTGGGGGCACGTCTACAAGAACTGCGAGGACGTGGGGGTGTCTGTGCTCATAAGGTGAGTTTTCGTCAAGAAACAAAAGCTAATAATTGTATTGTCACTGTGAAAGACATTTATCACAGTGTGTGTGCGTGTGTAAACTTTCGAGCAGTGCATACATTCTTTACAGTTTAAGATGCTTACGTTTAAGGCTGTGTGTGTTTTTCTATCTGTTGCTCTCTTTGGATGTGGATATTTAATTCTCACAGTGGATCATTAAAGCTTCTATACACTCTCTGTGATTAATTCGCCATATAGTGCATCCTTAGTGGCCGGAAAGTAAAGTAATGGGATCTCTCTCCTAATTTGTCTTTTGTTGTTTGCATTCCTTTATTCTCTGTTTGCATTTGCATCAAACACATAATGACAGTGAGAACAAAGTCACAAAAAATGATCCTGAAATGTATTTATAAAAACTGAGAAACATTTCAGGACCTTTCTTTTGCTTGCCTTTTTTAATCTGCTGTAACATTAAAGACTCACTTGATTCGTTATGATAAGAGCTTGACATCTCTGCTGATGTAAATGACAATTAACCTTGTAGTGTTAAAGGTCTTTCTCAACAACCTCCCTTTATGTTTTTACTGGATAGTATTAGAGGAATACAGAGATCACAAATGTGGTAAAAAGACAGGCACATCTGTAAGGTGCATGAAGAGTATGTATAAGTAGGTATTAACAGTAGTAATAGGAACTGGGGGAAAAATCTCCAGACTAAAAAAGGAAATTGAATAGAATCTACAAATTCTCGGCCAACATCAACATTTATACATTTTTACGACCTTATGAATAAATGTAAACCAAAGGGGAGGCATTTAATCATATGACATAAAAATGTGTAAAGGGAATCTGCTGAAATCTGGCATAGGTTAAAACAAAAGTTAAAGGGTTGTGTGGGTTGTCAAGACTATATGATCACAGAGTATACCTTCATACACGGGTCTATTTTCTGCAAATCCCCTCTAAGCCCCTGTTGAACGGTGCTAGGCTTTGTGGCGTTTTTACCGTAGTGGCCACAGTCAGAACTGCAGGTCATGTGACTTTTCCCATAGACAGTCAATACAAAATGCATTCAATTTTTGTACAGTTTGGAATTATATTATTTTTGTGTCATTCCAGCAGGAAGCCAGCTGGCTCGGGCCAACGTAGGACTCTAATGCGCATACTCTGTTTGCCCAAAAACCTGGCTGCCTGACGAAAACCTGAAAAACGTTTTTTAGCATACGAGTAGCTTTCATTGGCATGAATGAGGTGCCATCTTGGAAAATGGTATCCATCCATGATCCTTACAAGACATGCATTATGCTTAAGCATCGTCCTTACTTACTATCATGGCCATCATGAAGTTCCTCTCAGATTTTTGCCCCCACATTTACCACACCAAACTCTCATCTAATCTCAACCATCTGTAACCTTAACATAATCACTTTCAACTTTACACAGACTTCATCTCAAGGATGATACTTGTCCCAGTTGTTGTTCCTGAGTTTTGGCTGCAAAATAATCTGATACATATTACATTTATACGAAATTCGAATTTACGCCACGTGTCGAGGCAGATTTTTGTTAATGACAGGAAACATATATACGGTAATTAAGCATACAGAGGCCCGCACACACACACACACACACACACAACACAAAAAGAAAGAGCGACAATAATTCATGTGTCAGCATGAATAGATACTGACACAGTATGTACTGTATGTATGAGACGCTAAATTTGTGCCTTGTTCATTTACATTTACGTCAAATTCATGTATAGAAGACGGTTTATGCCTCATAAACTTTCATCTTTGGAGGTACTGTAAGCACCTTGTTCTTGTATGACTCACAGGGCTCTTGCTCAACCATCACGTCTTCTTAAGTTGTCAAAACTTATTCATAAATATAAAATCAAACATTTTTCTCCAAGAGCCTAATCTTCAACAGGCAGTAATTCTCTGCAAAGCTTCACTGCAAAGCGTTGCAGGCCAACAGGATGCAACACGGCTTGACTGAGTTTTTCCTGCTTCTTTTCCTGTTTTTTAAACTTATATATATATCAAAGCAAATGGACTGGATTCGTTTGAATGTCCCCAGCTAAACTGTCTCAGTGTTACACTAAGAAAACCCTTCAGGGCTTGTTAAAATGGACAGTGAGTCGTAGCCAAGGAGACTGATGTGAGCGAGACAAACTGATTTTTGGTTGGGGGTGACGAGAATCCTTGAGGGACAGTTGAAGAGGCATGGAGCATCTTTAGTATAAATAAATATATATATATAGGTACGTGTGTGTGTGTGTGTGTGTGTGTGTGTGTGTGTGTGTGTGTGTGTGTGTGAGGGGGGGGGGGTGCGCTCTTATCTGTGGATGACAGCAACAAGCTTTGGCACTTATATGTCTCCCTCCATGCCACACTATCTGCCTTCTCTTCTGTCACTGTTTTATCTTTCCTTTCCTTTTTTGACATATTTTCCTCCCTTGATAAAAAGATGACATTTAGTCAAAGCTCAGCTGGTTGTGATAACCATCAAAAATCAATTATGACAAACCTGCCAAGCAGATTATATATCCAGGAGCTTCTTTAGCTGACTCTGGTGAATATACATGTTGACAACTTAGAGCTTCTCGTAGCCAAGGAGCAACAGATGTGTTAAAAGGGTGCAAACCAGACAGTGACAGAATACGCACACCTAGAGTACAACTAATGACTATTTCCTTTATGGATTTAATCATGCTTAGCACCATTCACTAATACCAGGAACAGTTAACAGCTTCGTCAGCTCCATTTTCAAGCAGTTTGTCAGTTACCTAACATAACCTGAGGCTGACACTCGGTCACAGTCTTGCATGATTGAGATCATATTGTTGAGATCAGTGCACAACATGTGATCTCGGATTAGCATTTTCATGTCAATCCATGTGCCTGGATGCATGGAGAGAATAGACAGTGACAATAGCCTCCGTTGATCTCACCAATGCGTACAAATGCAATTGCATCGGGAGTGAGAGCACCCCAGGCGTCTGCAGAACAGTGCATATGGCAGCTTTGTGAGGAAAATCAAACCCTGCTTACTTTGACTCAAATGGAGCCGTTATAGGGACAGTGCTGATGGAGGGATTCACGCACATTTTCACCAAGCATAAGAGAATTAGGTGGCACGATGAAACATAATTCTCAGACAAATCGTACTTAATGAATTTGAGGTATTTCATGCTGTGTGGACACACAAAAATAATTGCTTTACTGTAAGGGCTTAGTGGTATCTGTTAATCTGTCAGTGATACACTTACAGGGCTTTGACACATGCGGCATGCAAGGCTGCCTTGTGCCGCATGGGCTGAAATTGTGAAGGTGCAAATTCTATAAAAGTATTCTATAATGAAAGTATTCCAAATTTGCATTATGAGGCCTATCAACGTTGAGATTCTCTCGTTGTTGAATCAGAAATGGAGAAAAGAATATAGTAGCCTTCTGTGGCTATGCCCAGAGCTCTACGGTAGTACCTTATACTTGTACAGAGGCCGGACAAAACGAAATGTATGTGTAGAAACCATAGACTGTCTATGGTACAAACAATAATATTTACGGCTAGATGACGTTATTTTGAGTGTTCATGGAACAGTTACAAAGTTAGCAAAGCCTAGCACTGGTTGATCAGAACCCCATTCAGAAAACAAGCATTTCAAAAGTTTGTTTGCTTATCGTCTCGTGGACGACCTAACAAAGCATGAATTCAGACATTTTACTAATTATTGGACAAATTTAAATTGTGACCTTGTGGCGCTAGAAACACAGTCATCAAAAGTCATCCTCTGGGGACCATAAATATCTGAACCAAATTTGATTGCAATAACACCCAGTAGTCAATCAAAACCAAAACATATCTACCTACTGATGGCGCAGGACGTAAAGTCAGGCGATCACCGAAGTCGTAATGACTTATCGTCTGGGGAACAAGAATGTCTGTACAAAATGTTGTAGCAATCTATCCAACAGTTGTTGAGACATTTGAGTTAACACTGTAGGTGTACTAAAATCAGGACTATATCGTTTTTTTTATTTGTCAATAATTAAGCCGGCAGTATGGAGTCTTGTGAAAAAAAAGCCGTCCTTGAAGATCCGGCAATGGGGCTCAAGGTTGTTCCAGTCCAATCAAAGAGTGATTAACAAGCCTCATTAATGGTGCTGCTTTGGATTTGAAGACTTCATTTAAATGCAGAGACAGGTGCAAGAATGTGTTCAGAGCTCTGCAAAGTACTGAACACCAGCACTCTTCTCCCACAGGGACAAAATGTTTCTCACCATGCCTCTAGAGACATGCAGTTTTACAGCTAGTCACTCTGGTCCCCATATCTCCATTAAGAAAATACACCGCACACCCCTCATCCTGTCATTGCAGGATGTTTGGCCCATTGGTTCTCAGCATGTGATGAGTGCTTTCACATCAAAACTATTACTGCATCAAACAGCTATATCTATATGCGGACGTTTTACCATACAGCGTATTAATACTGTTTACTCACAATAGTAAGGAAGGCATAGGTGATTAGCATTGTCAATAAAGTTAGAAAATGAAATGAGAACTTGCATATGAATCAAGCCTGCCAAGGCTGAATTTTGGTCTTGGATATTATGCAAGTGTTAATATATAATGAGATGGCCTCATATGATGGTATGCTGAGGGTTAGGCAACAAAACCACTTAAAGGAAAGATTGTAGTTAAAGTTGATTCAAACTAAAGTCCCTCTTATACTGGATTTTTTTTAGGCCATTACTAGTGTTGATATTTGGAAGTTTAAAAAAAAGGTAATTAAATAGTGATAGGGTTTCCTTAGATATATTCATTTTTTTAAATTCTTCAACAGGATACATGATTGGAACATTATACAGTATAAAAATCAACTTGTCAGTGCTCTCTGGTGGACAACTATGTAATAATGATAGTATGACACTTTCAAAATGAACTCCAACCTAGTTTAATGTTTCTCCACTGCAACTTCTTGTCACTATCAGGCTGACATATAGACAGATACAGATTTATCTGCAATAAGCTGATATCTGCCAAGCAGATTTTTTATTTTTTTATCAGGCTAAATTCAAAGTTGGATGTTTAGGTCTCTGGTCTCCTGCATGAAAGTCTGATGTTCTACACACCCATCCATGAATCCATCACTCCAACCTCCGCACCATCACTTTCCACCTCACTACATAAAGAGTCCACTGCTTCCTGTGTTGGATGTAAACCATCACGTACACGATCGTCCAGGAACCAAACCACAAACGAGTCAGTGTGATAATTAAAATTGGCTTCTTTTAAGAGAATGTACTTCCTATAATCTTGGTAAACCATTAAAATCTTCAATTCTGTTGGTTATGGGATTCACTAGGATGATAGGGACATTTGGATCAAAAAAAGCTTTCCTGTGCCTGTTGAATATTATTATTTTAATGTACTGTAAAAACATACCTTGGCTACAGGGGATTAAACATTTATCATTCTAACACAAGAAGGCACAAAAAAAGAACTTGTTTCTTCTTCAAAGAAAAGATCAGAGCAGCACTCTGTTTTCCTAAAGTGCCGCAGTTAACTTTGTCTGAGCAGAACAAGAGCTACTAGACAGTCTGTATTATTCCCATCACCGAGGAAAAGAGTGTGTACGTATCGTGACAGCTGGAGGAGCCAAGCTAGGAGGGATACAGGCAAGCCGAGCCTTTGTAGGTCTAGCATGACATAGGATCTGGGGGATGTGGATGTACTGTAGTGTAGCGCGGCTGCCGAGGGCCAAAATCCAACTGGGAAGTAACTGTACGAGCAATTCTAGTCAGCCGGAGCACTGACAAGATTTAAAGTGGGTCAAAGCAGAAGTGTGTGTGTGTGTGTGTTCACATGTCAATCCATCTGTTTTTCAGTTAGTGTTTGTCTGTATGTCTGTGAATGTGTAAAGCTCTCTATTAGAAATTATACTCTGCATGGTTGTCAGTGAACATTTTTCACATACGCCTTTAGCTAAGCTCGAGGAAAGTTTCGTATTGCTTTGGCATACCTCCCGTCTTACTGAGCTGCTGTGAGCTCACAGTCTCTCTGTGATGAAAACTGTCAAGCCGCTGAATCAAAACAAATCCTCCTAACAAGAATCCCACAAGACGATTTCCATTTTCTTTGTTTATCTCTCCTCTTACATCTACCAGGGTGGTTTAAGAATGGAATTTACTCCATCCGGACCTAAAATAACTCTTGTTGTATACACTGGGCAGACCTCAAAAAACAATCCAGACACATCAGAGATAAGTGTAATTTTCTCCCACATCACAATTCTTTCAAGCATTTTGAAAAGCTCTGAGGTGAAGCTTGGTAAGGATCCGTTAAGTCCTCTGTTAAACAACCGCTCCCAGGTTTGTGAAAGGGTGTCAGGACTTGATGGACGACGTTGCATAGCATAGCAGCAAAAGCTGAACATAGTTCAACTTGTTTAAAGAAACCCTGCATTGTTTTGCTGCAGCCTGTCCCCCCCCTGCACCAGTAGACTATCTCCATTAAAATTGAAGCTTTTTCCACATAGGGCTAAACGTCTGATCATGGATCTAGTCATGTTAATATTTAATGGAATGCAGAAGAAACGATGGCAAACATACTGTTAACAACAAAGAAGAAACTGAACCATCATGTCATTTAACCCCTTTCAAACACACACCTTGTTCTGTAGATATGTTAGACATTTCCCATGTCTGAAATAAGCACTTGATTCACTTTTACTAAAGTTAGGACGGCATGCTCACTAGGTTGGATCTTGTTTCATGTTCATGTTTCACTGATTAAAGCTGGATTTGATCACTGGCATAAACACTGGCATAAACACTGGCATAAACACTGGCATAAACACTGGCATAAACAGCAGCAGACAAAATGAAACACCACTCTTGAGCACACCTGCAACCAATTACACTCAATCTTCAATAACAGGGCCACATTTGAGCACCTGATCCATAAAGGATTCTGCCAGGCACTTTCTGTCACAGTGATGAGGAGGATTACACACTTGACAGACATGAAAAAGAGTGTGTGTATGTTTGTGTGTGTTTGTAGATCACACTAAACAAAAAACTACTAACTGATGAAGGAATCACAATAAATCGATTGGAATGTATGGTATCTGTGCATTAAAAGGCCCCGGGGATATCGTTTGCAGACTGACTGAGAGTCATGTTTTGAAATTGGAGAGAGAGTGACTTTCCATCCTCGGGACATTTGCTTCTTGGGTAAATTCTTATTTTTCAAGCATGAGTCCCCACATGCTTTGGTCAAATGTTGTGATGCATGCATGGTTCTCATTATCATAGACTTCCCCTGGCTTTATTATGGGCTTCTGATGGGATTTGTCCCAGTTAAGCTGAATAGATGTCATAGCTTTATTGCCAATTCAGAATGAATAGTAACAACAATTTTAAGCAATTTTCTTGTTCGTGTAATGTGCTTGTGGTCTTGATGCTTCACTCTCTCTCCAATCGGTATTCAGAGTTGTATATTGTGTCGATCTAGTTAGATTGGAAAGTTCTTTCAAAAATACGATACAAAAACAGAAGATTATACACAGCAGGAGCCTTTTTCTCTCTGCTCATTTCTAATTTCTCCTCTCATTTTCCCCAGCCTTTCTTCACTGCAAACCAGCAAAGAAAAAAGCAATTTTCCTTCTTTGTTTCTTTTCGTCTGAATTGATATAAAATGTCTTTGCCTCCTTAGGTTCTTTATCAACTTTCCATCGGCCAAACAGTACTTCAGCCAATTCGAGGACATGGAGGATCCAGAGGAGATGGAGCGAAGCAGCCAACTTCGCCACCATGCCTGCAGGGTGATGAATGCTATCAATACTGTGGTGGAGAACCTCCATGACCCAGAGAAGGTGTCGTCAGTGTTGGCTCTGGTGGGAAAGTCCCATGCCATCAAACACAAGGTGGAACCCATGTACTTCAAGGTGACTTCAAGGAATAATTCACTGTCTGATACTATTAGACCGTTGTATATTAATAATCTGTGATGTTCAGAAGTTATCTTACGATGAAGTGTACAACTTGACCTCTTTAGTGTCAGACTACCACATTCTGCTTTACTTCGATCGAGGATTTTCTATATTTCCAAGAATCGCCTTCGACAATTCCGCAAGGTACATTGCAACAGGGGTATTGTTTCTCTGCTAGGAGAACTTGCTTTATAGTTTGGGCCACTTGATTGGTGATGCAACAAAATAAATGTCCTGAAAGATAATTGTCTGGTTAAGTGGCAACAGTAGAAGTGTTTTCTTGCTTCAGCAGCCCCTGGAATTATCAAAGCATCCCATTAGCACCCTATAGAAATGTTCTCATTACCATTGTAGTACCACAGGGTATTCTCCCGCCTATTTAAATAGACTACGGCCAAAAAAAATCATGTTACTGTTTTGCTCCGTTGATCTGTTTTTTTATTTCCCGTTTGCAACTGTGTGCAAAAATACATCAAATTGTTAGGAAGCTGTCTTTTGTTTTTGTTTTTTTGTTTTATACCGAGTTAAGAAATGATACTTTACTCAGACATGACAGAAAGAGTGCATACTGAAGTTAATAGGGACGAAAACACCCCCGGCTTCCTCAGGTTTTCTTGATCACAGATGTTCACAGAAGAAATGATTCAGTTATTAATCTCATCCCCATTAATTTACAGTAATACCAGAGTGAAAAGCAGTGTTTGCCTGCCTTTTCTGGTTGTGGGTGTTAGGTCTGTTGCACCTTATCAATGATACTGGGTGTGGTCAGAAGTGTGCTCTGTTACAGCTGTAACACAAATGCTAGAGGCGATCATGTATTTGATGTTATGCTATTTCTTAGAAGAACTACAAAGAACAATGTAGCAGCCTGTAGTGATATAGAGAGGTATACAAACAGTAGGAAAGCAGTTCACAATTTCTCAACTATAACTGACTGTTCACCTGAGGCTATGTCAACAAAGCAAGGAGAAGTTCTGGTAACAACGCACACACAGGAAGAGTGACTTCATTCTCTGCTCAGGTACACATTACTCCACTATATCTTTACATAGAAAATAGTTGTTTGCTGCGATATTAATGCTCTGGATATCAAAGTTAACAAATGTAAAAGTTATTTTATCACAAGGGTTAAAAGTGCTGATTACCCGTGAAGGCAGGAGAAGTAAGAAATAGAATAAGTGTCGTCAAAAATGTTTAAAATCCAGTGTTTAATTTAAACCATATTCCCTCTTTGTCTTATTCAAGAGGGGAAGCATATGCTTCCTCCCTTCAAGTCTTTTGAATGCCGACTGCAGTTGGTTCATCAATGCAGCTGCGAAGAGGACACATTACCGCCATTTAAGCATCCCTCCACCGGCTTCCGATTGCCTTTGGAATGTGTTTTAAGATGTAATTGATCACTTTATGAATAAATCATTGAATGTAATTGTCCCTCTGTGTATTCCCTGTCCTGTTAACCTCATATGTACAAGGGTGAACCACTTAGGTCTTGTGGCGATCATGCTGTGTGGTGAACTTGTTGTGTGAAACAACACATCACAAATGATCAAGAATATTTTATTCTGATGAATTAATCATTTTAAGTGGTTTATAACACAATATGCCAATTTTTTTTGCTTATTGAAGCTTCTCAAATGTTTGAACTTTTTATATTTTGTATCATTTTGAAATTGAATATCTTCTGGATTTTAGAGACAGAACAATTAATCAAAAAATATCAACTGGTAAATAAATAATGGAAATAATGAATGTGGCTGCATCGTTAATCATCATATGACGAGCATAAATACTGCATTAGCTTCTCAACAAAACAAATCTCAGTGCAAAGTCCTACTTAAAGGCACCGTCGTTCTGCAGCTTTCAACCACATCCCATGGCCTTCCTTCCTGCATGTCGTTGCTCAGTTGCCATGAAGATGGTTTAGTTTAGTCTCATCTCTCTAACAGGTGGTTGTATAGGGGGACATTAAGACACCACCCCAAACTGCTATTTATTCTTTTTCAGTTAGTAACAGTTTAATTGCCACAAAGTGAGAATAGAGGGGGTTCTACGTGTCCCCATTTCTGCCCCACCACTGCTCATCTACTACATTTAAATCCAAATTTCCCTCTTTATTCTTGCTTTTCTTTCCTACATTTTCACACCCCACCTGTGTTGTACTTTCTCTCTACTTTGTCATGTTCTTTCCCTTTGTATTCCCCGTCCACCCACAGCTCTCATGCTTTCCTGTTATCATTTTCAATTCTCGCCTCGCCCACTTTTCTGTGAGAGCGAATTGGATTCGTTATTTCCGCCGCTCCGCTCTCTCCGCTTACTCTCTCTTCCTTCCACCTGCCATTATAGATGTCTTTCTCTTTTACCCCCATGTTAATCAAGATTATTTCTCACCCTCTTTCCTCCCAGATTCTGAGTGGTGTGATTCTGGAGGTGTTGGCTGAAGATTTCCCAGAGTTCTTCCCGACAGAGGTGCAGATGGTGTGGACCAAACTGATGGGGGCGGTGTACTGGCATGTGACAGGGGCCTACACAGACGTGGGCTGGCTCCAGGTCTCCAGCTCAGCGGTGTGAAGAGTTTGGAAGAAGAGGGGGTAAAGGAGTTTCAATTGAAAGCAGTTCTGTGAGGATGGTTTCACAAACATGGATGAGATTAATGTGGAAATCCGTGCTACTCTGTACTTAATTTTGGTGACATTTTGGGTGCTACGCCCTCATTGCTGTGGTGTTTCTACATCACACTTCCCTGAGATCACTTGGACGCCAAACAATGTAGCCAGACGACATTTTACTTTTCTTCTATTGAAGTTTTAGCCAGTGTAAGTGGTACTTTGGTCTGTGTTATTAGCCATGGAGGCTATCACTGCTAATGCTAACTATCCGGTTCTTCTTCATTTCAAAACAAACGACTGTTGCAGCCAAAATACAACACACATCATTAATTGACCCTTCACTAAGCCCGGTTCCTTTACTTACCATTGCTAGGCCTGTCTCACTTTCCAAAATTAGTCCCATATACAGTTTACAAACGTAATGGTGTCAAATTCACCACTCACAATTCTTGGGTCAATTTTGAAACAATGGCTCCTTGATTTCAGACAGAGGTAGGCCTCCCATTTCCAGCTCAACGCCTGTAATAACAACTGTTTTTATCAACTGTTGCTAGCTTGCTAATTAATGTTAGCTAAGTAATTTATGACAATGCTATTTTCAACCAACTCATTGGTCAACCAGGCTACATAACAGCTACATCATATCATGCTAAAAGGCTAAAGCAAAACATCACATCCTCACCATGAAACATGTACAACACATGGAAACAACGGAGGAGCATTGTTATTGTGGCATAGCTATATACAGTAGTTCTATCATTATGGTTCAATATGATCATTAAAAAAATGTGAAGAAAAATACTGTATTATAGTACAGTTTTCCAAGGGAAATGAAAAAGCACTGAGGTAGGTTATACGTATGTAATAAGCTAGTTAGCCAGACATGCTAGCATTTTCAGTTTAACACCCTATTAAATCTACTGCACTCTTTAAACTTTTGGTGTTGTGTTTTTGTTTGAAAAAAAGAAACAGCACCCTCCAAACTCGTGAATACCATCCTGTACATTGCTCTCGCTACAGACCGCTTCAGCATGTGCAGAAATACAAAGCTTGACAGGTCTGCTGTGTGTCGTTACAGACTGGCTACCGTCACGCTGAGCTAACGCTGTTCAGGGTTGGGTTTTAGTGAACGCCTGGGGATGGCAGACAGATTATTACTTCAGAGTTACTCTCTGTGGAAACCTGCAGCATCTTCAGGCAAAGCCACACATATGAATACACCTCATGATATTTTGAGAAAGGGATTCAGAAGTGTTTTAGACAAGAAGTGATTTTCAGGCTCTGAGATGGGGGCCGTTAGCTGTTGGAGCCCCAGCTATGGGACCATGGAGCTGCTGACTGTTAATAGATTCTCTTTGTGTCCTACTACAGTATATCCTCATGTTTAAGGGACCTGTGCCCCTTTCTCTCTCTATTGATGCATTGCGTGCTCTTAATGTCTTGTTTAACTTTACCGAGCTGTTGTTTGTATAAGTGTACAGTGGGCAAGTGTGTATACTTATCTGCCTTCGTTTACAACTCATGGACACGTCGGTCTGCTGATGTGTGATAGAGGGTTGTTTCTTTTCTCTGCTGAAAGTCTCGGACTAGCAACGACGCTTTAAGTTTCTTCTTGCCTATCACTTTCATGACGCAAACATTGGGAATGTGCGATGGAAAAAATATCAGGTGGACACAATCAGGCAACTGCACATGCACACACTCACACACACAGGCATGCTGTAAGACCTCCCCTGTGCTAATATTTACAGGACTGTCGGTTGGTTTACCTCTTCTAAACCCCATCAGAGAGATGCGAGGCATTAAAGGCTCCATTAAGAGCTTTAGAAAGTCACTCTGGAGGTCTACGGAAAACAGGTCAGCTTAAGAAGTGCAACCAGTCTGTTTCCTTAGATCTCTCACCCGTCTAACACAAGAAATTACATCCAAATACATAAAATGCATTGCGCAAATTATACTGCCTTTGCTCTAACATGGACAGGATGCTTTCTTCATATTTGACAAGGGGAATGTTGGACACATTCTCACATGCAGACATCATATTCAGTTTTCTGCCCCACCCCCCCTCAAACCTGCTGCATACTGTCAAACTAACTATCTTTACCTTACATAACATCATCCTCTTGTCACCGGCGCCTCAGTAATCATGCACTCCTGCTGGCTGTCCCCGTCTGCGAGTCTCTCTCTGGTCAATTTCCAAACATACACGGTAAATCTGTTTAGGATGGATGTTTGATCCAATCTTCAGTTTACATCTGCTCCAGTGACGTCCTGTATCTCCCATCTGACCCCCCTTGGCATCGGCATCTGGCATTAATGAGGAAGTAATGAGTCTCCTCTCATCCTCATTTGGTCATTCATCTACTGTAACTTCCCATTGCCTCCGTTAGAGTCGCGTCACTGAGACCAAAAAACAATTATGACTGGACAGATGGTCTTAAACTCAACACTCCACCACGCCATTCACAATAATTATTTCTAAAAATGTTTTTCGTTCACTTCAAACATTGACATAATGTTTTAAGTGACTTTTGAGGAAGTGACTTGTAAGTGACTTCCTCCTTAATTACACATTATGTCTTGCCTTAGACCAGTGGTTTCCAAACTTTTCCTATCATGCTTTCCTTCTGGAAGGCGGACAAATTCATGAACAATTAAGAACTGCATGTCTCTGTCATGCAAATGAAAAAAAGCAAGCTAAACCCAAACTGCCACACAAAAACACATTGCTCTTGACAGTGAACTCAAGTGCACGAAATACTTCATATTTTGGATTGGGTTGGACTCAAAAGTTCGTACCCATTGATTGTCATAGTTTAATCCACATTTGTGTCTGGAAAGCAAAGTATCTTGTTATCTTGATATTAGAGTTCGATAAGGATATAATTAAGCTGCTATAAAAAAAATCCTGAGCTAACAAGATAATTTAACATGTGATCATTACAAGGTTAAAACCATAATTGCAACTACAGCTTGGCTTCAGTATCTGTAAAAACTGTCAGTTCACATTCAAAATAAGTTTAAGCTCTAAGAGTTTATTTTCAAGTTCAACTGGAGAGTCGTAAGCTAATACATAGATATGTAGCTTACTGTGACTCCTGTGTGTGACTCACAGGAGTCAAACTAACCTCTAAGTAAGCTATTTCCACTTTGACTCAAATAGCTCGGGAGGCAGTAAAGCTGTTGTCAGCCATAAATGATCCGTATCAAAATACACACCAGTCCTATTCTTTGCCTTTCTTCTGACGTCAGCGTCCCTCTGAGGTCAGACCTCAAGCAGCCCGAGGGTTCACGAGTATTTCTGTTCCCCCGACATGTTTATTACACACTGTGTGGTGTGAAACACACACAACGGAGATGTGCTGTTGCTCTTGCTAAGCTGCAGGTTTCGTGTCCCTCTTCGTCCTTATGCAGCACACCATGAGCACACACACACACACACACACACACACACACACACACAATTATGTGCAGACACATCCCAATAACGGTCACTCGCTTTCTTTATCACTTTTCACACACACTCCCACACACACACACACACACACGGTCTTGCATTTAATGGGTGAGTTCGGCATGTCCTCGCATGCCAAGTGTACTACAGACGCACCTAATCCAATATATATTTTCAATCATTTTTTAATTACGAAAATTAGACAAACTTGGCTCATTAAAGAATTTCACACGCTCATTCTCAAATAAGGGCATCACAGCATATATGTGGAACTATGTGGTTTTCGTTGTGCAATAGTTTCTGTCTATCAGTTGAAAAGTTAGGACTTTATATTTTTCTAAATATGTATCTATGCGAAGGATTCTATGTATTTGAATACTCTATATGAATATGTCATTGTGTACTGCGTTGTTGGTGGGAGCGAGTGCAGTGGCTTTGTAGTGTTTTGAGCATGTTTGCACAGCCTACCACAGACTTGTACCTCCGCAGACCTGGTGAAAATGAATCATGACCGTCAATAAAACATACTTGTAAATTTGTCTCTGACCGAGTTTTTCTTTTTAAAGAGAACACATTAGATCTGATACATAGATAGATGAACCAGATGAAGGTTCTTGTGATGAATGTTTTCACTGCATACAACCAACAAGTGACCTCAGGACCTTGTGTCAACGTTCGGGCTAAAATGAATCAGAAATATCGCTGGTGAAATGATGAGCACACATGACAATGTCTGTTCAGAGGAAATTGGCTGCTAGATCCATGCTCACCATGAAATGTTACATCTAGGTTACATCACCTGCAAAAAATATGTTTGCATTATCACTCACATTTATATCGAGTGTGACCTGCAGCGATGGAAAGAGTATATGATTAAAGTCAGCTCCTCAATCACTAACAGAGACCAGGCTAAAAGAAGTTACACTTAAAATGTGTTACACCATTTTATCTGATGTTACTGCAGGTATTGTGTATATTTTTCAAACAATGGATTAAACCATTTTTGGACATATTTGTGAAAACAGCGTCAAAGCTTTAGGCCTCTGGGGACTACGATTGTGTTCATGGTCAAGACAAACAGCAGTCTCCAATTTAAAAGTCTAATGTTTTGTTGATTGATTATGTTTTTTGTTTTTTTGTGGGAGGTCAGTCTCAGTTTAATGTACAATATTAAGTGTAAAACTGAAGAAAAGAATAAGCTAAAATAGAATTACACGGAAGAAGAAAAAATTACAGTGCAGTGCGAGATATAAATAAAAAGCCACAAAGAAATAATAGAAGGCATCGGCAAACAGAAAAGTGAGGGAAACTTTGAATTACGGCCTGCAACCCAGAGTAATTCTTCCCAATTTACAATTCAATTTTTTTAAACAGTACAGAACATACTGATACGACGTGCAGGTGCAACAGAAGAAGATGTGAAGTTAGGAAATAAGAGGGTAATAACCTGGGAACAACATGATAATAATGTACACTGTCTGCATTTCTAACGAGTGCCTTTTAACTAACCTTAGTTACTGCAAAAGATGATACCTTAAATTGGGAACATTTTTATGCAGTATGTTGTGGGCCGTAATCTAAAGCTAAATTTATAATAACTGAGAGTGTTGCAGATGTGTGGCGCTCAGAAAATGAATGCTGCTTCTCCTTTAGAGGTCTGGATGGTACATAACGTGGCAGCATATCAAAGATGTCTTTTGGCCCTAAACCATTCAGTGCTTTATAAACCAGTTGTATTTTAAAAGCAGTTCTTTGACACCCTTGATGCCGGTGCAAAAATCCAAGAACTGGTGTGACGTGCTCCACTTTGCTGTGTTAGTGAGGACTCTGGCAGCAGAAACTAAGGAGAATGGATCATTTTTCTATGTATCCTTCTATTAATCTTTGTGGAAATGATTTTGCTCTTTGAGGACGAATCAGCATGTTTTTGTCTTTGCAGGCTATTCCTGGTTTTTAAATTTATGTTCTTTTTAAATCTCCTCAGCCAAAAGGTGAACTTGACCCAGATATACCAACGCAGCTCATATCTCCTGCCAGCAGGTAGTCGGTCGCAGATACTCTGCTTGGCAGTCCCACTGTTTCAGGAACAAGAGATAATTAAATGGAATGAGATGTAAATGTTCCTAATCAATGATTAATGTTTTCCCGTTCGCTGCTTGGCGCTCCAGGCGAGACTCTATCTATGGCTCCAGCGGGAGGTTCATGCAGGGAGGAAGATAGTCATATTTCCAATCCATACAGTAATTTATTCAAAGAGTACATCTTATCATCAAAGACAACTCGGTTATATCTGCTTTCTGAATGCTGGGAAGTTTTTGAATACTTTTGCTTTCATAAAAGGAATTCATACACACTGTATTTCTGAGTAATTGTATTTTCAGTATTTTTCACACTGGGTTACTGGTTGGGTTAAAAATGTAGCGCTGAAAGGATTAAATATAATATTCAGGATATAACATTTATTGTCTTGATGCCTGGCTCGACTAATAGGAATAATGCAACTAAACACCATAAGAGTCTTAAAATAGAGTCGTTCTACAACAACTGTACAGCGTGGTCCACAGGACACTGACTCCTCAACGTGGCGACACATTTTCCCAGAACGCTGGCACCATGGGCTCATCAACCCACCTGGACAAAGTCTACTTTGCTCTTAGAGGACACAAAGAGGCTAATAATC